AACAGAAAATCTCTGGAGCCGCCACTGGTGTCATACAGCATATCTCAACAAAGAGCCATATAACACATACTCAGGTTTGAATAGTATCACCAAATCATATATCACTGTCCAGAGACTAATGTGAATATCAGATCATACATTTGAAAACCTGCTCTTTTGTTACTCATAAATCAATAAGATCATATAACTCACAACATAAACTGGTTTCTTAATGAGTCTGTAACTCTACAAAAGCAGCATTGGCACTATTACAGGAAAATGATCGTGCCAAACCGAGGACAAAATGAATCTAATGTCCAAATAAGGTTTGGCAGGGCTATGTCCGGGCACCTGATGGTGCAAGGGAAAGCTTGTACATCACTAAAAACCAAGGGTGAGTCCTTGCTGCAGCAGCAATGGGTTCAACTCCAACCTGTGGCTCTTTGCTGCATGTCATCCCCTCTCTCACTCCTCCCTTTCCTGTCACTCTTCAGCTGTCACCCCCCAAAAAAAGATTAGGATATCAATATCCTAATTCATATGCTAATATGGATATCATGTATTTATTTGGCCATTCATTTATTGGTTAAATATTCCATTCTGTCTCAGATTTAGGCTGTGACATATTGGATACAGTCATTATTTTGCAGAGTCAAGCTTGTGTGGGTGTGGGTGTCAAGTGCACACATACAGTTCATATCTGTGCATTTTGGCTGTCCAGCAACAAAGACCAAACCAAACCTACGCCCTTGTATTGTTGTTTTTTTATGAGCAGCTTGTAGCTTACTACTTTAACAAAAGTGTGGTGTGGCGTAGCTTAACTACTTCCAGTCAACAGTGGTTTGCAGCATCTCTACAGTTTCAAAGTAGCTTCCCCAACATTGGCCTCCTGGGGCTTCGTCGCAACACACAGAGGTAGTGTCTGTGGGTGGGAAGCTGATATGAATGTAATGGAATAACAGATAAAATCTGGGTTTTAGTGTACACTTCTGATTTTGTACATGTCGTCAACCCACAGAGTTTTATATAACTGTCCTGAAATATCAGATCGTCCTTGTCATTGTGGAAAAAAAAATTATGGAGATGGTGTGTGTGTGTGTGTGTGTGTGTGTGTGTGTGGGCGGGGGGTTAGTATAAGTAGCTCCCAAACAGTAACATATGTTTCTGATAGGAATGCCCCTGCTTTAAACGAACCACTCATCCACATAGGAACTCAGGGAACAGCACAACAGTTTATGTCTTCAATTACATTTAAAAGAATACAACAAGGGCCAAAATGATGATAAAGATTTCCATATGAGGAATGTGCATTACTGGTGCAGCATGTTCTCTTTGGAGAATACAGTCTGAAATATTCCTTGGAAACACTTTTCAGTTATCCCAAACAGCCAAAGGTTATGCAATAACAAAATGAAACAGCAGTTTGACTGTATTTTTCCACAATGAGATAGTAAAGTTTGATAATGTAATGGTTCCTGATGATGACAATTGTAAATCAGAGAGACATTACACTTACAGTAAAAACAATTACACAGAAACCAGTCTAGTGAAGATTATTAATTCATTATTTAATTAAGGTTCCATTCCATTCAGGTCAAATAGAGTCAGGGTGCATCTACTGTGCATGCTGATTCACTGGAAATGCTCCGCTACACTAAATAGAACAGAACCTTAATTAGTGTCATTGGTAATGATATTTTTTGTTTACCCTACTATTTCATGTCAAAATGGCTGCTGTTAAAAGGGTCTATTAAATTTAATTTCATCAGTCTTTCCATTGAATGTCAGCAGTGGAGAGGTTCAGTGCTCCTTGGGATATAAAGACTGTTTCAGAGGCTACATGTTTTTCATAAACTATGTCAAATTGAATTATATTTTATATTTAGGACTATTTCAGCTTTGATCACAAGGGACAGTTAGCTTAACCTAGCTTATCTTAGTTGTTGGATTCGTGGCATCATTTAGCAGCTCTGCTCAGAAGAAGAAATATATTTCTCCCTAACTGAAGATTTAATATCTTGTATTGAGGATGGGCGACAGCAAAGTTTAAAAATTTTATATGATACCTATAATTTCTGTTACAATGTTAATGATACCAATACCGATCATTTCTTTAATGTCACTTTTCAAAATAATGGTCATTACACTTATTTTTATCCATTAATAATAATTTATTAGAAAAGTATAATATGAATATGTGGAGGTGGACGTGGTTAACGTTCATTTGAATGTACAAACATCATGGCTCAAACCTACATCATCAGGTGCTCAGAAACTCAGAAAAAAGACAAACCACAACAGACATGAGACTGAAATAATATTAATAAAAAAATAAAGTAAAAGTAGATAAATGCAAGGTATAGGGCTTTTTTTGCAAATCATATTCCTCTATACTAAAAAGGTTCACTGCATTTTTACTCTTTATGACTTTATAAGAAATAATCTCATTACTGAACCTATACTTGGATATGTGCAGATAGCATTTCCCAAGAATATGAATGTTGTTAACCAGAAAGTAATCTTTGCTATTGTGCATGACCATGAGTCATGAGACAAGATGTCAAGTTGAAAAACCTTTGGACAAAGTCAGTTATGTACATCCACCCATAAAACTTCAGAATACATACACGGGAAAAATAAGTAGTTTCATTTCAAAACAGGTCACTGGATGGATACACTCTTAAACAGATTTTGCTTAGCGTTTAAGGGAATTTTAAATATTTAGTTCATAACTTCTGAATAGAGGATGGGGTTTCTATAAGAAATAATTGTGTTTGAGATTTTATTAAACATATTTCTGATTGTTCTGTTTGGGGTTTTGCCTTCAGGAGGGAGATAGGTGTGGAGATGGCATATGAGAGCAGGTGATTGTCACAGCCCTTCTGAGTTTATTGCTGGGAATATTCTTTTGTTGAACTGTGGGACTTAAACGAGAGAGAAAGCTAGAGAATCAACGGTGGCAGTGAGGCCTATTGAGTGAGTACAATTTAATAAAAAATTTTAGTGTTAGTTTGTGCTGTTTGATGTGGATGTACGTCTCTGCACGTTCAGTGCTTATGTCACATCATTTTCCACAGTCATGTGACACAGGCCAGCTGATTATGTCAGGGCTGATTCTTGGCTTAAATGTTATATAAAAGTACTGAAAATGTTTGGAAGTAATGCAGCAACCCACATTTTGTAACTACCTATATTATCTTAAAGGAATCCATACAAAATTAGTAGCTTGTGAGTATCAAATCATCACTCCACCCATCCTTACATTTTACTTGTTTGTCAAGTGTTAATTCTGCGACACTGCTGTGTGCATTTACTATAGAGTTATGCCACAGTTTGTTCCATGAAGACATCAACAGCTAAAATACCTGACAGTTCTGCTTGCAAAGACATGAAAACACGCCTCTGTGAGCTTCATTCATTCAAGAAAAAAACGACAGTCGTCTCACTGTTTGCAGGGAGATGTTTCAATGTAGTTCTCATATGTTAAGCACCTTGTTTTCCACAGTTCTAGATGAAGCCCATTAGTCTACGGCCCACAATGCCTGCTTCCTTACAAATTGAGGCACCTCTTGAGGGGTGGGGGACTCTAAATGAATGAGGGGCCCAAAGCAGAATATTATGTAAATACATCAAACTGCAGTATCTAACTCAACGACAGATGAAATGATGGTAGGCAGTTAAAATGAAAAACAACAGACTTTTTCTCTACCAGAATATAATAGTTTTCAGATCATGAAGAGAAAAATCTAATCTAATAAATAAATAAATGATTAAGTTATTTATGATTCTTAATCAGACCTACAGTTGGTGCAGCATCCAATCACCAAAGGGGACAGAGCGTGCAGTCAGGGGCCTGGGGGCTGGAACAGTTGGCCTGAGGTGGTAATGTTGGCTGATTGCCAGTGATCTCCTTTAAGTCCCTTATTAAAACATACTTTCCTTGAGTTTTAATTTTCTTTGAACTGCCTTTTCCTACCTTGGTTACTGGTACTGTTTAAAAACAGAAGATTTTATGACGTGTCTGTTTAATTTTTTGCTTTTGCTAAGACCTTTTGTAACGTGGATTTTGAAAAGCTATAAATAAAGATTATAATATTATTATAAAAGATTTCCACTTAGGAGGTTTGCTGGTCCTGTAAAAAACTTCCGTAAAGGCTGGTCTCCTCAGAGATCCCTCCTTGACTAACTAGTCAGACTAACAAATCAGATAGTAGCCAAGCAGCTGATTGATAAGCTGATGATGGTGAAGCCTCACTGAGGCAACTAATGTCAGTCAGCTAACGCAATCCCTTCAACTGTTGACGTGGAGCAAATGGAGGACATCAGACAGAGAATCAGAAACATTTTCTTTATAACATATGACCCAGTTTCACCAAAGTCACTGAAAATGGGTAAATTTGCCATTTTGGGCTATATAAATAAAA